GCATACTTAGAGAACCGGTCAACTATCACGAGGATCGCTTCTGTCTCTCCGACTTTAGGTAGGTGGGTGATGAAGTCGAGAGACACACTCTCCCACGRTCGTGATGGGATTGGCAAGGGTTCYAGTAAAYCTGCAATYTTATTTCGCTCGACCTTGTCTTGTTGGCAGATGAGACACGTTTTGGTATACTGCATCACGTCGTCTCTCARACTCGGCCAGTAGTAGCCTTTCTTTAACAGGGCGTAAGTTCTCTGCCATCCAGCATGGCCTGCCCACATCGTGTCATGACATTCTCCAAGTAGGAGCTTTCTTAGGTTCCCAGAACGGGGAACATACAAACSGTTACCTTTGGTGAAGARGAGGTCATTCTCCACSCAAAACTGTCTAGTCTYCCCTTCGTTGGCTAACTGAATTATCGCTTGGGCAGCTGGGTCATTCTGTAAGTTCTCTCTGATGGCTTCRCGAATGGATCCAGTGAGCTTGCTCGCTTTTAGGTGAGCTAACATGCACAGRGCCGCATRTTCGCTCTTYCTGCTAAGGGCATCTGCCGCCTGATTTGCTCGACCGGGCTTATGTTCGAACTGAAAATCGAACTCGGCAAGGTACTCTTGCCACCTAGCTTGCTTGGATGACAACTTCGGTTGGTTGAAGAAGTGACAGACTGAGCTGTTGTCGGTYTTGACAACGAACTTGGCCCCTAGGAGATATTGCCTCCAGGCCCTCAAGCAGTGGACTACTGCTAACATCTCTTTCTCGGAGGCGGCATACCTCCTTTCAGCATCATTCAACTTCTGACTCTCATATGCAATGGGGTGACCGTCTTGGAGAAGCACTCCTCCCAGGGCGAAGTCTGACGCATCAGTCTCGACTTCGAACGGTCGTGTGACGTCTGCAATTCCCAACACCGACCCCTCCATCATTGCCTTTTTCAAACTCTCAAATGCTGCGTGACATTCTGGGGTCCAGTTCCACTTCTGGTTCTTCTTCAGTAAATCTGTTAAAGGCCCGGTCCGTTTCGAGAATCCTTCCACGAATCGCCTATAGTAATTGGCTAATCCGAGGAATGAACGAAGTTCTGTGATGGACGTCGGAATTTTCCACTCCTGAATGGCTTTGACCTTTCCATCCTCCATGCCTATTCGACCGCATTCTATCACATGACCCAGGAAACTGATGCGTTCTTGGGCAAACGAGCACTTTTCTCGTTTAACGTACAACTGGTTCTGTTTGAGCTTCTCGAAAACAAGTTGTAAATGTACCTGGTGTTCTTCCATGGTTGGACTGTAGACAACTATATCATCTAGATAAACCACCACAAATTTGTCGAGGTATTCGTGAAACACCTGGTTCATTAAGGTACAGAAGGTGGCGGGGGCATTCGTAAGGCCGAAGGGCATGACAAGAAATTCAAAGGCCCCATACCGAGTGACGCAGGTCGTCTTCGATTCATCTCCTTATGCGATGCGCACCTGATAGTATCCAGATCGCAGATCCAGCTTAGAGAAGTACTTTGCCCCATGAAGTTGATCGAACAGGTCTGTGATGATGGGTAARGGGTRCTTGTTGCGGACTRTGAGTTTGTTTAATGCTCGATAGTCAATGCATAGGCGGAGACTTSCGTCTTTCTTCTTCTGAAAAAGGACTGGGGCMCCATAGGGAGCCTTAGCTGGGCGTATGAATCCAGCATTCAGCAGTTCATCAAGTTGTTTCCTCAGTTCGGCTAGCTCGGGAGGAGCCATCCGATAGGCGTTCTTGGCGGGCGGTTTGGCCCCCGGTAACAATTCAATCTCATGGTCTATCCCCGGTCTTGGAGGTAGATTTTTGGGCAGGTTGTCTGGCATTACATCGGCATATGCCTCCAAGACTCGCTGGATTTCTCTGGGAACTAGCTCTTCAGAATTTCTGCCTTCCGCAACAGGAATGGCCATGAAGGTCGGCTCGTCCTGGGCGATACCTTTCTTTAGCTGGAGTGCTGATATCATCTTCACTCCGCTTGGTTGTTTGATGCTTGTCTGAACAACTATGGGATCGGAACTCGTTACAACCAGGCACTTAGCAAGGGGCATGGGGATGACTTTGTGTTCCAGCAGAAATTTTATCCCCAATACTACGTCAAAGTCGTCCATCCGCACTATCACAAAGTCGACTAGTCCACTCCATGTCCCTAGCTTTACTGAGACTCTTTTTGCAACTCCCATGATGGGGAGGGCAGCCGAGTTGACCGCTTTCATCTTTCCTGGGTCTTTATCCCATMGCAAGTTCARCCGACGTGCTTCGGTTTCYGTCATGAAATTGTGGGTGGCACCAGAATCTACCATAGTGCTTTTTGCGGCTTTCTGATTGACCCATGCTTCCACATACATCAGACCACGTTCCAGGGGTTCCTTCACTTCTTCGGCTTTCTTCTGAAGCGCCGATAAGAATTTGAGTGCTCCCATACGGGGGTTGTCATCGGCGTCTTCGGGAGGAGTATCTGTTTCGGGGCCTTCCGGTTCGATCGCTCGATCGTTCGTCAGTGTGGCTTGGAAGGCCCGGAGAGCAGCTCGATTCGGACACTCGTATACTCTGTGTGGTCCCTTACAAATGAAGCAAGATGGTCCTGTCCGATTGTTATTGTTTGGTGGGTTCGGCCCTCTCCATGTATTTCCCCCTCTCTGCTGGAAGGGTCTGCGGTCTCCTCCTCCATTTTTGTCAGCTCCCCCATTTTTAGGGGACCCCGATCTAGCGGGTCTGTGTCCACTACTGGAAGAAGCTTGGGTCTTCCTCTGTTCTTGTGACGTGTCGCTGCTAAGATTGAACAGCTGTTCGGCGGTTGCGTAAGCAGTAGGGATATCTTGTACCTTCTGTTCATACAGTTTGGCCCGGGCCCATGGTTTCAAGCCCTCCACGAAGGCGAAGACCTTGTCTTTCTCGGACATATCGCGGATATCTAACATCAACCCTGAAAACTGCTTTACGTAGTCTCGAATATTTCCTGTGTCGTAATTCACGAAGTTTATCGATTGGGATCTGAGTTCCTGCTTTAGTTTTTCCCACGTGTCGATGGTACATTTGCCCTCTTGTACATCTACGTATCTCGCTCTCCACCACAACTTCGCATCGTCAGCAAGATGCATTGTGGCTAGTGTGACTTTCGATTCCTCTGTCACCGTGCTTGTCGCCTTGAAGTACTGCTCAAGGTCGAAGATGAAGTTCTCAAGAGCTTTAGCATCTCGCGCCCCACAGAAGGGCT